CCATGCATAATTTATCATATAGCTCTGCTATTGCTCATGTATGTGTGACTAGCTATTAATGGGATCATTCTCTTTTTGTACCTTCTGTGAGATCCAGACAGTATTTTTCATAATTGAAACACTTTTATTTATGTGTGTGTGTCCATCTGTACATGCCGCAGTGGATGTGAGAGGGCAACCGTTGAGAGTTGGCTTTCTCCTCCCACCACAGCGCCATCCTTAGTGCTGTATGACAAGTGTATGACAAGTACTTTTATCGTCTCCCCAGCTCCGAATATAGTCTTTTGGTCTGTGTACGTGTTACATTGATATTTGTTGATTGCACAAACTGGGGCAAAATATTATCCTTTATAATTTTCCACTTCCTGTAACTTTTCATTTGACTTGCCACGAAGATGATGATAATGGTGGTGTACTCTTAAGGCTTAGGATGCTCTTTGGGTGAACTGTGTTGTGACTGTGTATAGATTCCTCATCCAGTAGTGTTTGTATTATCAGGAGCTCACACTGGCCCCTGTGAGGTGGGAGCCTCCTAGCTTCTAACAACACCTGTGTGATTATAGTAAAAAGCTTTGGAAGTCATGAAGAGCAAGCTGGAGTCTGTTCTAACTCTTCAACCGCATTTTAAGTGAATCAACTGAATTTCAGTTTTGTCTGTGTCTGTGTGCGTGTTCTTTGGTGCATGTGGGGAGGTGGGAGAGAAATGTATGGGAACTGGTTCTTTCCTTCTACCATGTGGGTTCTGGGGATTGGACTGAGGCCATCATGCTTGGGGTAAAGTGTCTACCCATCGAGCCATTTCACCTACCTTTTAACCTTATTTGAGAGAGGGTCTCCCACTAATGCTGGAATTCAGTAGTGCAACTAGTGTGGCCAGTTAGCAACCTCTTGGCAAATAAAAATTGGTATTCTTAAAAACAGACCAAAAAAAAAAAAACAAAAAACAAAAAAACAAAAACTCAACAACAACAACAAAAAATCTATTCTTTCTGCTCCCCTCTTTAAAAACAAAACTTCAGAACTTAAGGGACATAAAAATCATATAAGGCCCAGCAGTGATGGCGCACACCTTTAATCCCAACACTTGGAGGCAGAGGCAGGCGGATGTCTATGAATTCGATGCCAGCCTGATCTGCAGAGCAAGTTCCAGGACAGGCTCCAGAGCTACACAAAGAACCTTTGTCTTGAACACCACCCCCCCAAAAAAAAATCACATGTTAGTTTTGGCCAGCAGACTATCTTGTCACTTAGTTACTGATGGGGGTGGGGGTAGGGTTTGCTGTACTGTGACTTGGTTTCTATTATAAAGTGAAGTGAGGTCAGGATACAGGTGCTCTAAGAGTGTGATAATCGTTTGAATGTAATTGGCCCCCATAAGCTTATGGGGAGTGGCACTATTAGGAGGTGTGGCTTTGTTGGAGTAGGTATGGCCTTGTTGGAAGTTTATCTTTGTTGGGGTCGTAAAGTCTCATAATATGCTCAAGCCATGCCCATTGTCTCAGTTCACTTCCTGTTGCCTTTGGATAAAGATATAAAATTCTCAGCACCTTCTCCAGCATTATATCTTTCTGCACGCTGCCATGCTTCCCGCTATGATGATAATGGACTAAACCTCTGAAATTGTAAGCTGCTACCCCAATTAAAAGTTTCCTTTATAAGAGTTGCCAAGGTCATGGTGTCTCTTCCAGCAATAGAAACCCTAAGATGGAGGGGAAATATCTAGAAACCTTATGTTCATTGGGATGACCCAATGGAAGGCAAAGAAGCCCAGTTAAGCAGTGTGACTTGGCACTCTATGTCTATTGAGATGACTTCAGGTTGTGAGTTTTCCCACAATCTGAAGAGATCTGATACTGGTGAGGATGAGAACTTGCCTTTTTTAAACAGCTTCATGAAAACCACATTCCTTGAGTTAATGCATTTACGTGGGAAATGCTTTAGGCAAAATGAAAACAAAAAACAAAAAAAAAAAAAAAAAAACAAAAAAAACCCGAAACAGAATTCAGAGTGTCAAAAAACTGCCTTTATGCCCTCAGGAGCTGGGAGTACTTGATCAAAGACTGAGAAGGAAGCTCTGTGTGAAGGGGTGTGAAGCACACAGTTACTGAGGAGAGGTATCGGCCACCCTGTGTCAGGGCGGAGCTAGCAAGGGGAGCCTTTAGGGCATGGGAGTGATGTTTCTGTGAACCCAGCAAGCGTTGATAGTGAAAGCTCCTTAAAACTTACATAGGCAGTGGGAATGCTGCCACACAGATTTGCTAATTGTGCTTTCAGAAGATTTGGACAGGAGGTAAATTGTGAGACAGATGTACTCTACATGGGAAATGACCTTCCATAGCCTCTTCTGGTTCAGTTATTCTGAGGCCAAGCTGGGCTCACTGTCAGTGTTGTGTTGGCTGCCTCATGTATTTGAAGTAGATATGAAAAATGACCTCACCCAACGGGTCTTTTTCTTGGGTAAATTTAGAGCAGAGTGAGGTTAACGTAACTGTGAATCAGCAAAGGGAATCAGTTGTGTGTATGTAGAAATAAAAATAGGAGCAAAACTCTTTAGGGGACACAGGACTGATGAGCCCGGTGAGAATGGGACTACAAGGGGAAGGAAGATGGGGAAGTAAGCTCAAAATACTTCATGTACTTGCAAAAGTAGGCCAGGTTAACCCATGGCTTAGCCAAATAGTGATACAGGAGCTTCACTGTGTCCATCCTTCACCAGGTCTTCCTAACTGGCTGTCTTAGTAAGGTCTGCGAGACAGACTTGGCCAGCTTGGCATCATGATCTGTGTCTCCTCTTGTCTGATCCCTGTTTCTCCCATACCCCTTAGAGAATTTTCTCCCCACTAAACTTTTACAGTCCTAATTCTGCTTAGCACCTTCTCCTTTCAGTCTAACTGGGACATAAGACAGGGTTCCCCTGGGTAGTCCTGGCTGGCCTTGAACTCCAGAATTCCTCTTGCCACTTCACCTCTCAAGTGTTGGGGTTAAAGGTGTGCACCACTATACCTGATCTTACATAATGACATTTCCTTAATTTTACTGTTTTATCTTAGGCTTTGGACATGCACATGACTTGTTTCTCTTTGTGTATGATACTGAATTTCCTTTGTAGAAATTTCTGGGAATAGAGCTAAGCACAAAAGGAAATTTAAATTATCTATACTGTCTCCACTAGAAATGTCTACTAACAGGAGCATATTCTGATCAACTCTTGTGAAGTACAAGAGTATTCCACCCATGACTCTTTCACAAAACATGTTCCCAATTAGGAACAGAATTTTACCAGGACTTCTGGAACTTTGTATGTTAATCTCTGTCTTCACTTATTATAACACAGATTAACTTTGAACTTGTGTAAATAGTGTAGTATTCATTCTGTCCTCTTTGCTGAGTGTTGCTTCTGAGAAACATATGTCATGCTGTTGTGTTTTTGTTTTTTGTTTTTTGTTTTTTTTTTTTTGAAACCAGGTTTCTCTGTGTTAACAGCTCTGGTTGTCCTTGAACTTGCTCTGTATAGACCAGGCTGGCCTTGAACTCACAGAGATCTGCCTGCCTCTGCCTCCTGAGTGCTGGGATTACAGGTGTGTGCCACCATCACCCAGCCCATACCTGTCATTCTTGACTTCATGGGTTTGCATTGTGAATGACAGTTCACACTATTGATTCTGTGGTTAGGCATTTTGGTTTTTGTTTTTATTGCCTAGATTTTTCATGTTTTCTGTTGCCTATATTGCTTTATAGTTTGTGGTTTAGCCAATTAAGTCTGTTCTTAGTCCTGTAATTGAATTTTCCTGTGTAAGGGCCAATACTCTAAGCATGCACTCTACTGTTGAACCATAGCCCCTTTCAAACTGATATACATATATATATGCATATATGCATACACACACACACACACACACACACACACACACACAGGCACACACACACATCTCCCTGAGGCAAGTCTCATTATGAACCTTAGGCTAGCCTCCAACTACTGCTACTTCAGCTTCCCAAGTACTGGGATCACAGGTGTGTGCCCTTATACCTGTCATAAAGCTGCTGGATTTTTGTTTGTTTGGTTGTTTGTTTGTTTGGTTAGTTGGTGGGTTGGTTTTATGTTTTGAGACAGGGTTTCTGTGTGTAGCCCTGGCTGTCCTAGAACTCCCTCTGTAGATCATGCTGACCTCCAACATAAGATATTTACCTGCCTCTGCCCCCAGAGTGCTGGGATTAAAGGTGTGTGCCCCCAACTCCCCATGCTTAAATTGCTCTTTATTAATTCTTTCCAGTGTTCTTCTCTTTTGTAGGACCCAGAATAAGTTTTTCCTTGTCAGTGGGAGGTTTTGGATCATTGGCTGTTACCTGAATCATGTATTAGTCAGATCTCTGAGTTAAAGGAATTATGAAAGAACAGATTTTCCAGGTTGTTTTTGCTTGCTTGAGACAGGGTCTCACTATGTAGTCTTGGTTGGCCTAGAACTCACTATGTAAACTTTAGAGTGGTCTAAAACTCACAAAGATCCACCTGCCTCTGCCTCCCAAGTGCTAGAATTGAAGGTGTTATGTTACCATGACAAGCTTGGTGGTGGGTTTTGTTTTTAAGATTTATTTTTAATGTGTTTGCATGTTTACCTGAATGTATAGTCTGTGTACCTGTCACATGTGTGCAGTTCTCATAGAGGCCAGAAGATGGTGCTGAATCCTCTGGAATTGGAGTTCAGGCTATTGTGAGCCACTTTGAGGTGCTGGGAACCAAACCTGGGCCCTGTCTATAGAGTACTCTTTACTGCTGAGCCTTCTCTCTAGTCCCAGTTTCCCTGTTTTAAGATTATACCAGAACTTGAGTGTGATTCTAGGGAGAAGGAGAATGTGATAGGTTTGGCATTTGAACTCTGTCAAATTAAGATGGCCCAACTAGTGTGGGGAAGTGCTGGAGCTAGTTCATGCTATGTAGGAAAGAGTCCACGAGCACTTCTGTGCTCCGAAAGTTGTACACTAATGTTTATTTCTTCCTGCAGCTTCAAGTGGGATGTCATGGCCAGCTCCTCGGACAGTGAAGATGATAGTTTCATGGCTGTGGACCAAGAAGAAACTGTTCTGGAAGGAACAATGGAGCAAGATGAGGAATCCCATCCAGTGCTGGAAGTTGAAGAGACAAGACATAATAGGTCCATGTCTGAGTTGCCAGAAGAGGTTTTGGAGTATATCCTGTCCTTCCTTTCACCGTATCAGGAACACAAAACTGCTGCTCTGGTCTGCAAACAGTGGTATCGGCTTATCAAAGGTACCATGGAAAAGACAGGCTATTTCAAGTGTTTTAAAGAGATTATTATTATTTGTGTGTGTGTCTGTGTGTGTCTGTGTGTGTCTGTATGTATATACTCCATGTGTGCAGGTACCCATGAGTCCAGAAGAGGGCATCAGATCCCCTAGATCTTGAGTTACGGAAGGCTGTGAGTCACCCACTGTGGTAGCTGGAATTGAACTCAGCCCTGTGGAAGAGCAGCAAGAGTCATGGTTATGTTATTGTTATTTTATTAAGTAATTAGTTTTAGATTACCCCTTCTTCATTTGTATTTATCTTTATTTATAGAAAATTTATATGATATATTCTGATTTCCCCTCTAGCATCTCCTCCCAGATACTCTCCACTTACCCGCTCCTCCAACACCAATCCTTCTTTTTCTTTCTTTTTTTTTTAATTTATGATTTTCCCCCAACATAATATTTTTATTAATTATTTTGGGATTTCACATCATGCATCCTTATCATACTCACTTCTCAGTCCTTCAAAGTTTGCCCCTCCACCTTTGTGATTCCCTCACAAAAAGATGAAGAAAACAACAAAAGAAAAACATGTCTAACTTGTGTTGCCCTTATACTCACTGTAACATGATTAAACTCCTGGTGGCCAGCCCCCTTAAAGAAAACTGTGTCCTTCCCCACCCGTACCCCCACCAGAAGCCATCAGTTGTGGGGAGCTACACTTCAGCATTCTTATTACAGTTTTTAAGAGTTCCCTTTGATCACTGTATTGACATTCACAGTCAGTACTGCCACTGAAGACCATGCTGAGGTTTGGGGCACGTGCTGAGGCCAGAGACCATGTGGATGTCCGTGGTTCTTACTATCACTAGAAACCTCGTGGAAGTTCATGATCCATGCTCCTGCTGACCTTAAAGGGCAAGGAAGCTACCTTTACAGTGTTATTAATGACACACAGTTGAGAAAGAGGGGCAAAGAAGGCATCTATGACAATCCCTGCTCCTACTCTGTCCCCCCAAAAAGTAACAGCCTGGACAGAAAGTCATTGAAGAGAACTCTTAGACTCCCTTTTTTCTTTTCTCCCTTAAAGACATTATTGTTGTAAAAATTAGTATTAGATACGTTAACACATTTTTCTTATCTTGGTTAATTTTATAAACAGCCGGAACATTACTATTATAATACTATATACAGTTATAGAATAGTGATACTATTTGATTAATTTGCAGTTTCAAAATCATGTTTGTTTTATTTTTAAGGATTGATTTATTTGGATGGGTGGTGCTGGTACACTCCTGTAATCCCAGCATTTGGGAGGCAAGAGGCAGACAGATCTGTGATTTGAGGCCAGCCTGTTTTACAAAGTGAATTCCATGTGTATGAGTGTTTTGCCTAAATGTATTGTCTGTGCTCCCTGTGTAATGCCTGATGCCTGTGGAGGTCAGAAGAGGGCATCATATCTCTAGAACTGGTGTTACAGACAGTTGTGGGCCTGCTGTGTCTGTCTTTATCTGTGTTTGTGTATGTGTGTGTGTTGTTTGTACCTGTTATTATGGTTGTATGTATGTGAGTGTGTGGATGTGGAACCTGAGGCTGACTTCCAGTGCCTTTCCGCAAGTGCTCTTGGCCATTTTTGGGTTTTTGTTTGTTTGGTTGGTTAGTTGGTTTTGGTTTTTTGAGACAGGGTTTCTCTGTAGCTTTGGAGCCTGGCTTGGAACTAGCTCTGTAGACCAGGCTGGCCTCGAACTCACAAAGATCTGTCTGCCTCTGCCTCTTGAGTGCTACGATCAAAATCGTTCTCCACCAACACCTTTGCTTGACCTTCATTTTTTTAAATAATCTTTTTTCAAGATTTTATTTATTATGTGTACAGTGTTCTACCTGTATGTTTGCCTGCAAACCAGAAAAGGGCACCAGATCTTATTATAGGTAATTGTGAGCTACCATGTGGTTGCTGGGAATTGAACTCATGACCTCTGGAAGAGCAGCCAGTGCTCTTAACCTCTGAACCATCTCTTCAGCCCCTTAAATAATTTTCTTTTTAAATGAAGCAGAAGTGGGGGACAATAGAGGCATTTTAATATATTCTAAACATAAAGGGAAGAGAAAGAAGAGTATGCTAGAGAGATGGCTTAACAGATGTGTCCTTCCAGAGGACCCTCAGCACTCAGGCGGCAGAGGCAGGGGGAATCTCTGTGAATTCAAGGTCAGCTTGGTCTACAGAGTGAGTTCCAGGCCAGCCAGAGCTACACAGTGAGACCCTGTCTCAAAAAGAAAAAAAAAAAAAAAAAGAAAGACCCTTTCCCAAAAAAATAGAGTTGGGGCCACAGTGCTCCTTGAGGCTGGGCCCACACCTGGGTGTACCTGTGTTGTCAGTGTCTCTGAGTACTTTGTGCTCTCAGGCTCTCGTGGTTTTACTTTAGAATCACAGGTGAGTGTGTCTGTGAGAGTATATGCCAGGTGTGTACACCTTCAGAGGCCAAAGGTGTCAGCTTCCCATATGAGCTCCACTTGTATACTAGCATACAATACATTTCTTTCTCTGTTTCATTTTCAAGTTAGGGTTTCTCTGTGTAGCCCTGGCTGTCCTGGAACTCACTGTCAACTCACAGGTCCTCCTGACTCTGCCTCCTGAGTGCTGGGATTAAAGGCATGCACCACCACAGTGATTGCTGTTCTTTCAGAGGACCAAGTTGGATTTGCAGCAAACATAAGAAATTTCAATTCCATGGCATCCAACTCCTCTCTAGCTTTCCCAAACACCAGGCATTCACACAAAAACAAAAAAACCAAAACAAACACAATATGACTTTAATGAAATCAGTTATTAGAATGATATATTAGAAAAATAGATTGTTCCACAAGCACAGAGCTTTTAATTTTTTAAAGTCTACTATATAAATACACATGCTTTTTGAAACGAGGTCTCCTTGTGTGTAGCCCAGGCTAGACTTAGACTTATGAGCCTACATCTCAGCTTGGCTTAATGCTCTGTTTTTGGAGGAATTGTAGGTATATGGCCAATAGTGGTAGGCACAGAATTTGCTATTCACCTATGCCCGTGCACACTAATAGCCTCATTTTTTGTTTGTTTGTTTTACAAAACAGGGTTTCTCTGTAGCTTTGGAGCCTGTCCTAGAACTTGCTCAGTAGACCAGGCTGGCCTTGAACTCAGAGATCCAGCTGCCTCTGCCTCCTGTGTGCTGGGATTAAAGGCGTGTGCCATCAACACCTGGCAATAGCCTCCTTTCTTGTCAGCACTGCCTGCCATAGTGGTACCTTGTTGCAGTTGAAGAACCTATATTGGCATATCATTACCACCCAGAGACAGACCATCCATCCATCCATCCATCCATCCATCCATCCATCCATCCATCCATCCGTGAAATGAGGTCTCATCATGTAGCCTGGCTGGCTTCTCACTCACAGTAACCCACCTGCCTCTGCCCTCCTAAATGCTAGAACTAAAGCATACATATACCACTATGCCTGGGAAGCTCTTAAGTTAAAAAAAAAAAGTTATTACTTTTATATGTATATATGTATGTATGTGTATGTGACTTGAGTATATGCTCATCAAGTATGCCTGTGGAGGCCAGAGGAGTGCATTGGATCCTCTGGAACTGGAGTTACAGATTTGAGTTATCCAACATGCTGGAAACTGAACCTGGGTCCTCTGCAAGGATAGAAAGTGCTCTTAACCACTGCACTAACTCTCCAGCCCCAAGCTCCTAATTTCTATCCATTTATTTTTATTTCATGTGTATGGGTGTTTTACCTGCATGTATGTCTGGGTAACACATGTGTACCTGGTATCCACTGAGGCCAGAGTGTGTGTTGGATCCCCTGGAGCTGGAGTTGAAGACTGTTCTTAGTCTCTGTGTAGGTGCTAGGAAGTAAATGGGGGTCCTCTAGAAGAGCAGCCAAGTGCTCTTAGCCACTAAACCATCACTTCAGCCCATTCAAGCTCTTAATTTTTAAGACACACACTCAACACTTCATAATCTATTATATAATAATCTATGTTCTTACCTACGCTGGGGAATTCCTGATTGTCATGCTCTAACTGCAGAGCCTTTTGAGCAGCTATTGAATTACAGGCACTGCTTTCTCATATTCCTTCACAAAGACAAATTATTCCCTACCCCCTTTGCTTTGTAGTAATGCTACCCATTATCTTTATTGCCACACGATATAACTGAAAGTGGACAAAGGTTATCATGTGAGCCAATTTAGTAACCTTGGGCACATTTCTGAACCTCCTGGACCTTGGTAAAATGTAATTCTTTCAGTTTTGACATTTCTTGATTCTGTTTCCTTTCTTTGAATGAAAATGAGAGAAAGTTGGACTTCTCAAAACATTTATGACATATACAAGTGATAAAACAATTAAAAGCTGCATTTTTAATGATTTTTCCCTCCCCAAATTAGGTATCCAAGCTGATGCCTCTGGTATTTTCATCTTTAGGTGTAGCCCACCAGTGTTACCATGGTTTCATGAAGGCTGTCCAAGAAGGAAACATTCAGTGGGAGAGCAGGACTTACCCTTATCCTGGAACTCCTATCACTCAGCGGTTCTCCCACAGTGAGTATCCACATTGGGAAAGCAGGTCCCACCCTGCCTGTACTTACATTTCTAGAAACTGTTTTGGAGGCGTGCATTTTGTCTGGCTTTTAAATGAAGAGATGTAAAATGAGAGTTTCTAATAGAATTTGGAAAAAATTAATCTACACATGTCCTGAAGACTGACGTGTAACTCAGTGGAAGAGTGCTTGCCTAGGCAAGGATCATGGTTCAGTCCCTGATATCTCCACAACTGAATTGCCAGGCTTTGTTAACTTGGTATTATGCTTCATTTGACTCTCCTCCAGCCCCAATCTCCTGAAGGCGAGGATTTCAGACACATGCCATCATACCTGGCTGTATTTTAAGCTTTTTGTAGGAAGGAGCATATATTTGTTACTGATGTCATAAAAAAAGTGACCCCTAAGCTGAGCACTTAAAACAGTATTTCTTACCTGTTCCTGAAGGTATGGGATTTGGAGATGGTGCACTGAGTCCTGGGTTAGGAGTGTTTCATAGAGTGGCCATCATCGCTCTCCAGAGCTTCACTGTCCTGAAGCTTAGTCTTGGGATTGGGTGACCTTTCAAAGGAGGTCTTCGTTTCTTACTGCATGGACCTCTAGCTAGAGCCAGCCACACTGTCAGCTGCTTACTGTAGAGCAGGTGGTGATGAGAGGGTACCCATGATGGAAGGAAGCCAGAGTAGTTTTTCACAGTCTCTTCCTTTCTGTTCTCTTGGTTACCAGGAGGTGAAGATCCTTTGGTGCCACTTACCTCCAGATTGTTTGCTGTGCTTATGTCTGAAGATGTTCAGGAATAGTTATGACCAATAGTTTATTGCTCTGGGGTTGGATGGAAACAGACCAAAGAGACAGACAAAGTGTCACGTGTGGCTCCAGGAGCTGCTTTTGTACTTGTGCCGCTCTATCCTGCTCCAAGGAGGACATCCTTGATACACCCGTGGGACTTACTGTGAGTGTGTGACAGTGGAAGACACTGGGTTTACAAGAGTTGTTGAAGATAGGTGACAACTCAGCGGGTAAAGGAACTCACTGCCAAGCTGTTACGTGTGTCCCATCTCTAGGACCCACATGGTGGAGGAGCCTCCTGTTAGTCATGTTTTAACTGTAAGGTCCTCTGACCTCCACACTCACGATGTGGTACATGTCTCCCCCCCCCCCTTCCCCCAGTGACTCTATCAATAAATGCAATGGGAAAAAAAGAGAACGGTTCAGTGGTACTGCCTTGACCATGCTGAAACACCAGCAGTCACCCCAGTGCTTCTGAGGTGTTTGTGCCATTGCCAGCACAGTGAAAAATGGATTGCAGGGGTAGGAGGGTTTCCAGACCAGCAGGGCTGTCTAGCAGAACTCTGTCTCAGAAACAGAAGGCAAGTGGCATCATCACTGCTGGTATTGAAAAGGTCTTAACTTTTCTGGAGTTTGCAGATCGTGATTTAGAATGGCTAGACTAGATAACTTTCATCTCTCAGCATCCATATTTGATTCGGTGTGAGTTACTACAGATAGAGGAAGGGACGCTGACTGTTATAATTAAAAATACAGCGAGAAGGAGTTATGCCATACAACAGGGCTCACATGGAGAGTTTCTTTATTGGGGGAAGGGAATGAGAAAAGGGTGGGCAGATAGAGAGAGAGAGAGAGAGAGAGAGAGATATGAAACAGAGGCAGAGAGACAGGGAAAGAGATAGCCAGAGAGAGAGAAAGGAGGCAGACAGCAGGGCCTCACCTTTTAAAGGAGGGGGCATAGTTGTAATACTGGCAAGCTCATCCTGCCAGGAGATGGGGCAGGCCAGCATAATGCCTGAATGCTAACACTGTCAGGGTTTCTGAAGACTGTTGGTCTGGATTTTGCAAGGCCGGGGATTGAAGTCAGGGCCTTTTGCTAAAGGCAAGCTCTTTACTACTGAGCTATGTCCCCAGCCCTGAGATTGTCCCATAGTGAGAGAAGAATGAGTCTGGATGCATTCATTAGTGAGTTTTATGTCACCACCCCAGCACACCGGAAGTGCTCAGCTTCTGAAGGGAAAGGGTTACTTACCTCACGCTGTTGGACATCCCAGCCAGACATTAGAGGCCCTGTTACTATGAGCCTCCGGCAAGGGTGGCTCACCATGCTGCTGGAAACCCAGGAAAGAGTCATAGTTAATCTCGTAAAAAAGGGGGGAAAGCTTCTATCTCATCAGTTTTTCTTTTTCTGCTCTGCCTATTTTCTTCCATGTGTCTCTTTACACTGCCCAGCTGACTGACAAAATGAGAAGGACCATTACAGAAAAAAGGGCAATTTGCAAAATAGATTAAAAACTAAGAATTCCAGGACTCACAACATGGTTCAACGGGTAAAGGTACTTGCAACCAAGGCTGCCAGACTGAGTTTAATCCTCAGGACCTATATTGTAGATGGAGAGAACCAATTCCCCAAAATTATTCTCTCTCCTCCACACATATACCTTGACACATGTGTTCTAACACAGGTACACAAAATGAATGAATGAATGAATGAATGAATGAACGAACAAACGAACGAATAAATAAGTGTAATTTTGTTTTTGTTTGAGACAGTGATTGTCTGTGTACTCTTGGTTATTCTGGAACTCACTCTATAGACCAAGCTGGACTCAGAGATCACCTTCCTCTGCCTCCCGAGTGCTGAGATTAAAGAAGTGTGCTAGCATCACCCAGCTAATAAACATAATTTTAGAATTAAAACTAAGGGTTTAATTTTTGCCCCCTTGGCTCCTTCCTTTTTCTATTTTGTATCTTTGATCCCTCTTTCATATCCCTAATTCATGTTGATTCAAGATCTGCATTTTAAATTCTTCACTTATGTTACCATGGAGATACGGGATGGTTCATATTCAGTTAGCTAAAAGTAGAGCTCAATGCCCCCCTCCATTCCCAGTTTTCGTCCTTCCTTAATTTAGTGAATGTCACCATCATCTTAGATACACAGACTTGAGGTATTGGATTCATTCTCAGTTCCTGCCCTCAAGATCCAAGATGGATGTGATAATACATGCTTGTAGTGGAGCCAGGAGGATCAGGAGTTCAAGGTCAGTCCTGGCTACTTAGTGAATTTGAGGTCTGACCAGGCTGCCTGAGATTATGTGTGAAACAAAACAAAAAAACAAGTTTCTGTTCTGCCTTAAGCCTTTTCTTCCTTCCTTCCTTCCTTCCTTCCTTCCTTCCTTCCTTCCTTCCTTCCTTTCTTTTTTCTTTTTTTCTTGAGACAGGGTTTCTCAGTATTGCTTTGAAGCCTGTCCTAGAACTAGCTCTGTAGACCAGGCTGGCCTTGAACTCACAAAGATGGGCCCACCTCTACCTTCCGAGTGCTGGGATTAAAATTGTGCACCACCAACACCCAGCTTTTCCCATCACTCTTAATTCATAATCTGATCACTACATCTCTACGGCATCATAATATATTCCTCATATGGTGCTGGAGGTTAAACCCTGAGTCTCATGCAAAGCAAGCATGAACCGAATACTCCTTGCCCTCTCACCCCCCCCCCCCATACATTTCTGAGTGTCCTCTTCTCCATCCCATGTTAGACCCTACTCCATACAAAACCAGAGTCACTCTGCTCAAGCACACCCTTTCTGCTGAGGATGCCACACTGTCCCTCTGTTCTTCTGACACTCGCACCTGCCTAGTTACCGTTGTCTTTGTCAACAGCAAAGACCTTTGCACCTGGGAACCAAGCTCCTCGGGCTTCTTACCCAGTTTCTTTATTTATAAGATGTATGTAGCAAATACTGTTTATGTTACAGGTTGCTGAAAAGTGTAGTTAGGAGGCAGCTCCCTAAGCTAAGTTCTGTTGTATGTTCCTTGATGTCTCCTAAGCAGATATGTAAGTAAATTCTTTAATAACATCAGTTCTATTTAAGTGCCTTCTACATCAATATGAATACATTTTAATAATTGTCAAGATTTATAAGCTTAGATGCAGCAAATATGGGCCAGTGGCGTAGCAGGGAAAGGCACCTACCACCCAGACTGAGGACTTCAGTTCAATTCCCAGGACCCACACAGAAGAGAGAATTGGCTCCTGCAAGTTCTCTGACTTTTGCACATCTTGGCATGCATATATATACAAGAGTAATTAAAAATATTAAAAAGCCATATATACAACAAATATATGTCCAGTACAAGATCTTCCTTATGTTAAAAGCCTGGGACAGAAAAGGCAGGTGAAATGAAAAGGCCAGTTTTGTAATCTTTGGTGAATGTCAGCAAGTCTAATCACGCCAGCCCTGGTTAATGGAGGATACCCTTGTTGGTTTATTATAGAGAATCCCAAACATTGAAGTGTTTAGACTTTTCATATGGTCTGGCAGTTCCACACACTCTTGATCTGGCACTTGCCGGAGCCTGCAGGCCCAGACTGGATCACCACCCTTGCCTGTCCTGAGTTATGTAATTACAGACCTTATCAAATATGTTCCAGCTTGTAGATGGGAGACACATAACAGCATAGTCTCTTTCTGCATGGGATAAATGCCTCAGGGCCTTTCCCTGGTGACAGTAGGGAAACAAAAGAGAGTTTAACATCTGAAAGTCTGGAAAGTTAAGAGTGTGCAGCTTACTCGGGGACCATTTGGGGATTGTTCCAGGCACCGTGGAAATCCAGATTCCTGAAGATCTTTGTGCTTGAGATGATTAAAGTTCAGTAGAAAGCTATTGTGGTCTGTGAAGAACTGTTGGCTTGCCTGTGTACAGTTAAATTGTGGCTGTGTGTGCAGCTTGCCTTTAGATAGAGACTGTTGACAGTTTGAGATAGATGTCTTTGTGATAGCTGTTCATGCAGCAGGCAAATCTACTTGGACAAGTTTGGAGATTTAACAGTTGGAACACAGAGTTTCTAGGTTGCTTATTGCAGTATTCATGCTGCTGTGAGCTCTAGAGATCTAGATGTTCTGGAAGGAAAACCTATTTGGGTGGAGAACTTGAGTAAAAGGCAATTAACAGTTGGATGGGACTGAGAATCGTTAACATTCATTTTGTTGGGTGTTCCCATTGCCACTATCACTTCAGTGTCTCAAATAAAAACAAGCGTGAACAATGGGATGCTTATTAGAATTTTGAGATTTAGGATTTTGAGATAGAGTCTCACTATGTAACTCTGGCTGGCCTGGAATTCATTATATAGAACATATTATCCTCAAACTTACACCATGATCATTAGTGTGATATGTTCTTGTTCTACTGTATCTGAGCTCTGAACATTGTTCTCTAAATTGACTCCTTTCTCTCCCAGCTTCATTAATACTTGACCATGGTCATTGAAACTCAGCTGTGTGTCACTTCCATCTCAGTACCTTAGCTTTGGGCCCCATGTTCCTGCCTCAAAAACCTTTGTTTGTTTAGAGAGAAACAGGAAAATGCAGCCTGCCCTATTTTAGTATAGGATTAAAATACATGTGAAGGACCTCATGGGGCCCAACAGGCTGGGTTTTCAATCCAAATAGAGGAGAAGAATGTTTGCTATCTCTTTGAAAAATAAGGCACTCTGCTCATGAAGGAAACTGCCTCTAAGAGTTTGTGTATAGACTTGGGGCAACATAAACTAGCCTTGACTATGCTAGTAGGAAATCAGGGATTTGTTTTACCATATATTATTTATTATTTTTTGTGTGTGTCACACTGCCATGTATGTGGTTTCCAGGTCATCAGTCTTGTCCACAAGCACCTAGAATACTGTTAGTACTTCATGATTGCCTCGTTCATTGAAATTACTAGTTCATTCCAAGTCTGGGGGACTCCAGATAAGTAATCCATACTTATAATCCTGGTACTCAGGAGGCTGCAGCAGGAGAATCACCACAAGCTCAAGGCAAGCTTGGATTGTATAGTGAGACCCTGTCTCTGTGGGACCAACATAACCTGGAGCTGGCCAGTTTCTTTAATGGAGACCCAGATGTAGCACCCGGAATTATCCTCATCCCTCTCCTGCCGTTTAACTTAATTCTTTGTTATTTACAGTTCTTAGCAAATGTGAGCAATGGAATTTTAGTAGACTCTACTTTTTTTACTCTATTTATTTATACTACTTTATATTATTTTATTTTTAGACAGGAGCTCACAGTGTGGCCCTGATTAGCCTGGAACTTGCTTTGTAAACCATGATAGACTCTACTTTTTTTGTTTATAATTTATTTAATTTTATTTGCATTTCTTAAACCAGAATTACAGACAGTTGTGAGCTGCCATGTGGATGCTGGGAATTGAATTGGAAGAGCAGCTAGTGCTCTTAACTGCTGAGCCATCTCTCTAGTCCCTAGACTGTATTTTTTAAACAGACTTTCTTTTATTGTGAAGACAAAGTAACTCATTTAGATATAAATTCAAAATTATTATTTAAAAGATTTTAAATTATTTATTATATGTGTATGTTGGATGTTTTGCCTGTATGTATGTCTTTGTGCCATGTGCATGCAGTGCCCTTGAATGCTGGAAGAGACTGTCAAATTACTGGGACCAGAATTATGGATGTTGTGAGCCTCCATGTGGGTGCTGGGAATTAAACCCCAGTCCTCTGGAAGAACAGCCAGTGCTTTTAACTTCAGAGCTGATAAAACTTCTAGCCCCTCAAAATTATTATTTTTTAAACCCAAAACAAGAGTCATAAATGGGTGAACATTGAAAGGCCAGGCGTGGTGGCGCATACTTTTAATCCCAGCACTCGGAGGCAGAAGCAGGGGACTCTCTGTGAGATCAAGACCAGCCTGGTCTACAGAGTAAGTTCCAGGACAGTCAGGGCTACATAGATTGTCTCAAAAAAAAAAAAAAAAAAAAAAAAAAAAAAAAGAAAAGAAAAGAAAAAGAAAGGAAGGAAGAAAGAAAGAAAGAAAGAAAAAAAGAAAGAAAGAAAGCATCAGATGAGAACACTTAAAGCTCCATATACCACTGTATATGCTGTGAGTGCTGGGCAAGCAGTGGGAACGAGTCTGTGATAGCACTGTATTTATTGTTACTGCAGTGACATCTGCAGTCATTTACTCCTTTACTGTGGCATTACTGAGCAACTGATAAAACACACGGCTGACATGGCCTCTGTAATGAGCTTTCTTACACACGGGAGAACTGCTAACTTCCAGAGCTGGAGCCTACCACTGCTGTCATTGTAATAGTGACAGCAGGTAGGGGGTGGGGTTTGGTGTAGGAGCATTTCCTTTGTTCTGAATTTGAGTTAGTGGCATTATATAATTGAAAAGAGACCTGAAAGTAGTGGTTTGTGAGACTGAACTGCACCTGTGGATAGCTAGTGTCCCTGCAGTGAAGCACTTGTGTCTCAGAACGCCTTCCTTTCCTGTGACACCAACTGTTGCTTTCCTATGGGAAATGAGGGGGTGCCTCCCCTCAGCCTGTATGGCATGATGTGGACACACAGAGGCGCTTTGCTCAGTCCCTTCCTGGGGCCCACTGGTAAACGTGAGGCTGCAGGGCTTGTGTTCATCTTTTCCTAAGGACAGTGGCTGGGTGAGCCTTCAGGGAGATGCCAGCGGAGCTCAGTTTTCCCGCCTCTCACCAGAACTCAGGGTTAGGTCTCTCCGGGTTTAGCCTTTTTCTTTGCCTGTTTCTTGGGAATGCTCAGGTGATGTGCATGTAATCGGGCCTTCTGTGGCCTTGCTTCCCTTCAGGTATTTCCTACTGTCCTGATTTAGTCCACACTGACCAGCATGCCTAGGGGTCCAGTAGCTTTCTGCTTTTTCCTTCGGTTGCTTTGGGCTTGAACTTCTGTTTCCTTTGCTGTACTTTCACTTCAGAAAAATCTGTCTCGCTTTAGTCACAATGGTGTCTGTGTGGTTTTCATGGCACTGGTTAGAGCTGTTTTCACAGTTGTTAAGTTTCATATCAAGATTTGTGCTTTAGGTTTCATTTGAAAATACAAAACTTAGAGAAAAATCCATGGGAAGACAGAGGAGGGACATCTGTGGACGCTGGTTTTGCCTTGCTCTATAGGACACGGTGTGGTTTAGATAGTGACAGCCTGGCCTCCGAGAAGCTTCCCTCTCTATGTTGCTCTTCCTGGAATTCTGCTATCTTGCTCCATGATGTTAGGTTAGGTTAGGTTATGTATGGTTAGTGCGTAGGAATAAGATGTTTAGGGCTGGAAAGATGGTTTGCCTGTTAAGAGCGCTGCCTGTTCTTCCTGAAGAGTTGGGTTCAGATCCCAGCATCTAAACAGCAGCTGTTCCAGGACACCTAACATCCTCTTCTGGCCTCCATGGGCACTGCACATACATGGTACACATTACATATGTGCAAGAAAGACACCCATAAACATAAAATAAATCTTTAAAAAATTGCAAACATTAACAAAAGAAATGTTCACAGCTTTTCCCTGGGCTTCCTTTGCAAGGATAATGCGACATTGATCTATCTGAGGACAAGATGTAGGGATAGGAATTTGGTGCCTGGTACAGAGTTGTTGAATGTGTGGAATAATTAGAGTTTGAAAAAATATGGGTTATGGTAAAGGTGTTGAAGATAACTCTAAATTAACCTTGAGTCACTTGTTTCTTGCTTCCCCTTGCCCTGCCCCTATAGGTGCGTGCTATTATGATGCCAATCAGTCTATGTATGTCTTTGGAGGCTGTACCCAGAGCAGTTGCAATGCTGCCTTCAATGACCTCTGGAGGCTCGACCTAAATAGCAAAGAGTGGATTCGACCATTGGCTTCAGGTAAGTGATGGACTGCTGATTTCTGCCTTCTCACAGAGGCCTTCTTGGCGTGGACTCAAGCACATGTTACTGGTGTCTCAGGTTCCTTGACAAATGTGCTGTGTAATTGCTTAGGGTCATATGTTCATATAAGTCTTTGTATCAAAAATAAAATTGTAGCTGGGTTTAGTGGAACACACCTTTAATCCCAGCATTTGGGAGGCAGAGGCAGATGTTTCTCTGTGTTAGGTCAGCATGGTCTACATAGAGTTCTAGGATAGCCAGGACTACAAAAAGAAACCCTATGTCAAAAAAATTAATAAAAATAAAAATAAATTGCATTTTATCTCCAATATCAGTTTTGGTACCTGTCCAGAGTCACTGTGCCACTGTGTGAATCCATTGGTGTGGGTTTCTCAGGTACTTACACAGGTGTGATTTGTGTTTGGAATGAAGTCGAAGAACAGAAGCAGTCGTGAGAACTGTAGTTGACTGACAGGAGCTATTGTCCCAGGGCTGAGGTCTCTGAATAACACTTGTTCTTGCCAGCTTAGATATTCAGGAGTGTATGGGACGTGCCTCTGCGGGTTACTTAGGAGTGTGGGAAGATTCCATAGTATGTACATTCCTACACAGTCCCAGGATGGTAGAATTACCCTGGAAAACAGATTCCTTTTGATTTAATCTTTAATAATAATAGTAATAATAAAGTTGTTTTTACACTCATGAGAGTCCTGTCAATTAGAAGTGTCAGTCATAAGATGGGAGGGGCTGGTGCCATGGAGAAATTGGGTTCCTGGGGTATAAAATGCTCTGCTAGATTCATTGCAGGCTTTTTCCTAATGTTCTTCATTTGGCTCTTCAAGGTTGGAACTCAGTCTCAACACCAAGAAGACTTAAGTTTTTCGTTTTCCTTGGGCACTTATTCTCCCATACTGGTTGGCTTAGGTTGGGGTCAGCTTGGCCTTGTAGAAAGGGCCCTGGTGAGGAGGCGGGAGCTTCCTGTCTGGCATGATCTCAGTTCTCAGTGACTGTGAGTTGCTGACCTCTCAAAGGTGTGGACTGGGTGAGCCTGTCTTAAAGGCTGGGGAAGCCCGTTCACATTCCCTGTGTTTACAGAACCGCTGCTGGGAAGCTGTGCCCAGAGGCTGACATCTGCTTTTAGAGCTGACAGCTCCGTTCTTTTCCCTACTACAAGCAAGTAGAGCAGGAACATGCACACAGGGTCCCTGGTGTACTCTGGGGCTGGGGCTTGTGCAGGCCTGTTTAAAATATTGAAAGTATGGCTGTTAATCTTACAGAAACTCTGAAGGCTAGTACTTGTTCAGGGCTCAGAGTTTTATGCTTAGGAAGGCCTCCTTTTGTAGTTCCCTTGTTCCCTATTCAGTCAGTGAAGTGTTGATTCATAAATATTTGGAGTCATAAATTCTTTTTTAAAAACTATTTATTTTATGTGTTTTGCCTGTGTGCACATATGTGAACCGTGTGCATGATTGTTTGGATCTACTGGAACTGGGTTAATAATGTTTGTGAATCATCATGTGAACATCAGGAATTGAACCCCAGTCCTCTGCAAGAGCAATTGTAGTGCTGATTCTAACTGGTTTTAATAATAAAAACCCAAAGTCAGATATAGGGGTTAATGCTGAAAGATCAAAGAAGCAAGGTAGCCAGCCACTAGTTCTTACCTCTACTGAATCCTCAGACCAAAGGGGTGATCCTGTCCCTACGAACCCTCAGACTGAATGCAATGAGCTCCTTTCTCCTCCTGCCTTATACTCCTCTCTCTGCCCAACCATATCACTTCTGTCTCCACCTCCCTAGTGCTGGGATTAAAGGCGAGTAACTCCCAAATACTGGAATTAAAGGTCTGAGCCACCACTGCCTGGCTCTGCTTCTTCTAGACTTGATCAATCTCGTGTAGTCCAGGGTAGCCTTGAACTCACAGTGATCCAACTGCCTCTGCCTCCTGAGTGCTGGGTTCAAAGACATGAGATCCCAAGTGCTGGGATTAAAGGTGTGTGACACTGCTGCCTGGACTCTATGGTTAGCTAGTGGCTAGCTCCGCACTCGATCCTCAAGCTAGTTTTAGTTGTTAAAGCACAAACAGATTATCACCACAAGCCTCACATGCTCTTAACTGCTGAGCCATCTCTCCAGCCACTTGAGTCACAGATTCAAAAACATTGAGGCTGGAGAGATGTCTCAGTGGTTAAGAGCATTTGCTGCTCTTTCCAAGGACCCAAGTTTTGTTCCCAGCACTCACATGGTGACTCACAGCTATCTGTAACTCCAGCTCCAGAGGATCCAACACCCTCTTTCTGGCTTTCCCAGGCACCAGACACATACATGCAGATAAAACACCCATACATTAAATAAATAAACAAAAAATTTAAATGTGGGACATCTTTTCAGCTTAAGTGCCCTGTGACCACTGTACCTGGCGTGTGTCCTAGAAGCCACTTCAGAGCAGGCTCGATTATGCCAGTCACAGTGCTGGGCTGGCTCTGCCTTGTCTTCTCACTTCACACCTTGGTAATCTGCCCTAGGTATTTGTTGTTCCTTCCTTTACAAATAGAGCTCTGGGTTGGGGATCTTCACAGCTTTCTCTAAGATAGATGTTAAACTTTCTTTTTTAGTTGTTTTTGTTTAGGTGTTTTTGTTGTTTAAGATTTATTTTAGGGGGCTGGAGAGATGGCTCAGCAGTTAAGAGCACTGACTGCTCTTCCAGAGAACCCAGGTTCAATCCCAGCATCCACTTGGCAGCTCACAACTGTCTCTAACTCCAGTCACAGGAGATCTGACACCTTTACACCAATGCACATAAAATAAAAGGTTAAAAAAATATTTATTTTATTTCCAGGTATGTAGTGTGGGGAGGTGCTTACAGAGTCCAGAAGAAGATGTCAGATTTGCTGAGCTGGTATTTAGGCAGTTTTGAGCAATCAGCATGGATGTTAGGAGCGGCACTTGAGTCTTCTACATAAGCAGTGTGTTGTTTTTGCTGAGCAACCTCTACAGCCTGTTTAACCTCTAAGTTTAAAAACTCTGCTTTGAAATCCCCATAGTAGACTTGGAGGAGTAACTGGTTTGGTGATTCAGAATTTATGTGGAGAATAGTCACTGAGAATGTTCCCTTTAGGTTGATTGATTGGTGGAGACAGGGACTCATAGCTCAGGCTAGCCTTCATGTAGCTCTGCCTGCCTCTGACAAGTGCTGCGATTACAGGTATGCACCACCACACCTGTTTTCTTTTTAAAACAAGTCTCTGCATGTTTAAAGTCATTTTCTGTTGAAGTGCCTTAAATGAATCTAGTTGCCACCTCACTCAAACCTGTAACTAGAGCCTAGTTTTTTGAAGGGAGTTTTTTGAGATACCTATTTAAAACAAAACATTTAATAAAGGATCTTATGAAATTCTCATTTAGGCAGAAATTCCTTGGGATAATTCCCTGAATGTTTGTGTGTGCCGTCCTGAATCCCAACCCAAACCACTTTCTAACCGAAACATTAGTGTCTTTCGGAACAAAACACAAGTTGTTCATGTGTCTGCTGTGTCTGCTGCACTAGTGCATAGAGGGATAGGTTGGAGGAGGCCGCTACACTCTTCTTCTGGTGCCAGCCATGAGGCAGTTTTGTTGAATTGAGTGGGTGCTGCCCATGCTTGCAGCTTGCAGTGTGCAGTCTTCAGACCCAGAGCTTCCGCAGAAGTGAGAGTGGAGCTCTTCTGCCTGGGAGGGGGTCTTGGTGGTGACTGCTCTAGCAGGAGTCTCCTGACAGTAGCTTTGGGTGTGTCACGCAGAAGCCTGTGGCGGTTCTGATCTGGCTGGCATCATAGCTTAGGCTGCCGCAGCCAAGTTTTCAGGTCCCCCTATGCTACAGACTGAGGTGGCAGCAGTGCTCCAGCTGGATTGGGGTAGGAAGGGTGACAACACTCACAGTGGAAATAGATGGCTGTTGGTATGTGTCACTCCAGAAAGAACTAATGTAAAGCTTATACTGGCAAAAGCCAAGGTAAAATTACACAGAAAGGACCAAGCAACAAAATGTAAACTAAGAAGAGATGGCAACTTTAAACAGGAGTGCTAACTGAAGTAGAAGTGAGTGAGAATTCCTATGCAGAGACCTTGGGGCAGCAAAGGGGAAGGCGTACTAGAGGAGCTGAAACACGTCATGAGCATCTCAGTCACTGTTGTACTGCTGTGAAGAGACACCGTGACCAAGGCAACTCTCATAAAGAAAACATTTAACTGGGGACTCGCTCACAGTTTCAAAGGTTTAGTCCATTATCATCACATGGAGGGAGGGGCCATGCCAACACTCACGGCACTAGAGCAGTAGCTGAGAGCTACATCCTGGTCCACAGGCCAAGAGAGACTGGGCCACCTACATGTGCTTAAAGTCCACCCCCCACTGGCACACTTCTTCCAACAAGGAAGTAAATCAAAGAGGCTCCATCACAGTAGGAGCTGCGAGAGATTATGAAGGCTTGGACTAGAGTCTTGGCGTGGAGATAGGATGAAGTGGATGACTTTCAGTTGGACCTTTAGATTAAAATGAATTTGGTGGATTGGAAATAGTGAGGGCCAGTCAAGGCACATATTCACATCTCGTGCATTTAGCTACAAAGTGGAGTCTTTTTTAGGAGTAGGATACATAGTGGAGAGAGGTGTAGGTTTTATTATTTTACTTTTTTGAGATAGGGTCTCATGTAGTCTAAGATGACCTTGTTTCCTGTTGTAGAGGTTGAACTTGGGACATTTTATCTTCCTGAATGCTAAGATTACAGCTGTTGTTAATCCTACCAAATTTGAAGCAAGCTTTAATTAAGTAATGACTAGAACAATGGACTCTGGCCAGGTCTATTCTGGGGTTCCCAGAAAAGGGCCAGGTTCTTATAAAGGCAAATTTGCAAGACTAAGTACCTTCCACCTTCCTCCAATCAGGGGCAAGCATACACCCTGACATACTTCCTGCCTACTTGTAATTAAGCACATCCAGTGCAGTTGTGTCAACTAAA